GGGTAAGGCGTGTGAGGGAAATGAATGCAACATGATTATAGTAATCAGTCACTAGCGAATGTTGTAGTTCGTTATTAATAATTATGTATAACAGGATATTGTAAATTAAGTTAAGCAATTTTTATTAAAATGTTTCTTACATAGCATTATATTGGCTGAGTCCTAAAGATATTTGTTTTGGTCAGCATGTGGGTCACAAATTTGACATGCTTGGCCTAGAAGCTCAAAATACTTATGAAGAGTGCATGAAATGGAAGGACAACCAGCTGATGCTCCGATTACATAATTTCTATTTGAAAAATTGCCACAACTGGCACAAATGCAGTGCTAAACACTAAAAACATCACAACGTAATACCAATTTTATAAAAGTGAAGAAGTATTTAACACTTTAGAGTTTAAATAATAGGTGGAAGATATTTCTGTGAGTCATGGAGAGGTTTTGCTTGTGTTGAAGGCAATGATAAGGAAAAGGAACAATTTTGCCGAAACCGGTTTGGCTCAGTGGATAGAGCATCGGTCTGTGGACCAAAAGGTCCCGGGTTCGATTCCGGTCAAGGGCATGTACATTGGTTGTGGGCACATCCCCAGTAGGGGGTGTGCAGGAGGCAGCTGGTCGATGATTCTCTTTCATCGATGTTTCTAACTATCTCTCTCCCTTCCTCTCTGTGAAAAATCAATAAAATATATTAAAAAAAGGAACAATTTTGAATATATTGATTTGTTTTATTGAAAGTCATCACTTTCATTTACATCTAATACAATCCTTCTGTTAATTTGTATTTTGTTGGAAAAGACTTTCAGGGAAGTAGTTAATTTCCCCCAGCATTATCTGTGTTCTCAAAGTTAGTTTTCCCAAATTACAAAGTTGGTAATCTATCATCGGAAAGCACATACTCTTCCACAGGGAAATGAGCATGTGGCCACTCCAAGAATGGAGAGTGAGAGCAAGTGGGGATGGAGAAGAGCAGTGAACCCCATCCCTCTGAGGTATGGGCAGCCAGCAGTCACTGCTTTTACTCTAGATTCATGCCTAAGGGAGCCTCCTATGTGGCCTTGGGCAGATTCCTTACCCTTACTGTACCTTAGTGCTCTGATCTATAAAATGGGGATAATAACAGTATCTACCCTATAAGTTGCTTTAAGGATTGAGTTAATACATTTACAATGTCTGGGATAGCAATTACTCAAAACATTTCAGCCATTATTATTGTACTAGTGACCTGGTGCACAACATTTGTGCTCATTAGAAGGGAATTAATTAGAGGAAATATGTTAATATTTTTATTTGCCTTTTCTCTATAATAGAAGTGTCAGACATGAAAGAAAATTAGTAAAATGTATATGAAAATCTTCCTCCGATCAGAGTCTGGGGAGCGCTACAGGAACCAGAGTCAAGTCCCTGCCCACCCATGCACACCTCAAAATTGCACGAGACTCAGACCCTGCCAGCCCCACCCCCGTCAAGCCCTGTCAGGTGGGGGCCACAACCTCAGGTCCCCTGGCCTGGTGCCGGGTGAGAGTGAAGCCTCAGGTCCCTCGGCTTAGCGCCGGGTGGAGGGCACAGCCTCAGGTCCCCCGTCAAGTCCTGCCGGGTGGGGGGCACAGCTTCAGGTTCCCCAGCCCAGCACCCGGGTGGGGGATGCATTCTGAGGTCCCCCAGCCTGGCACCAGGGCTGGGGCGCCTTAAGGTCCCCCATCAAGCCTCATCTGACAGGGGGTGCTGCCTGAGGTCTCCCGTCAAGCCCTACCAGACGGGAGGCACAGGCACGGCCTGAGGTCCTCTGTCAAGCCCCACCAGGCAAGGGGTGCAGCCTCAGGGCCCCTGCCCTGGACCAGGTCCATGCAGCCTCAGGTCCCTGCTGATTGCTTGAGAAGGCTCCTTACAAGAACTCGGCCTCTGCTATGGGTGCAGCCATCATGTTATGGTGTGATGGACAATTTGCATAGTACCTCTTTATAGGTAGGATGGGGAAAATTTTGTTGTCATTAGCAGTTGGTGTGAATTTAGGCAGATCAAACTTACCTTATTTGGACCTGGGTATTGAGCCATTGGGTATTGAGTCAACTTGAAATGTATGTGTGCAGGAGTATTCTGACACCAGATGCTGTACTGCAGTCTGATTCTAATGCTAACCATCTGGGGTTTTGTGGATACCATAAGTTAAAGGGCGCAGTCCTCAACAAGACTGCAAGTAGGGTTCTCAAGCCTCTGTCACTTCTGACTGATTGACTGACTGACTACAAATCCAGGGATTCTCATGACTATCTCAGGTCCAATAACTCACTAGAATGACTCACGGGATTCAGAAATGTGCTACACTTATGGTTACAGTTTTATTTTGAAGGATATAAACTGGGACCATCTAAATGAAGAAACACAGAGGGTAAAGTCTGAGAATGCTCTCAGTGCTCACTTCCACGCCCTCTTCCTGTGGGACTTAAGGTGCATCACCTTCCTACAACATTTATTCACTAATTACGAAGCTCCATAAAGCTCCGTGTCCAGAGTTTTCACTGGGTTTTTATTACGTGGGTGTGATTGATTGAACCCATGTGGTGGAACTCAATCTCCTTAATCTGGGCTGGCTCCAAGCCCCAACCCTCTGATCAGTGGCTGGTCTTTCTGGTGATCAGCCCCCAATCTGAGTCTTCTTATCTCTTAGCATAAACTCAGGTGTCTCTCAGGGGCTCATGAATAACAATGACACTTCTGTTACATGGGAATTTCCAGGGTTTTAGTCTCCCGTTTAGGAACCAAGGACAAGCACCAGCCAAAAATTTTTTTGTCATACAATAGAGGATTATATTCCAGATAGCAAGGTACAAGATAGTGTCCTGTGAGGCAGCCCAGCTCTTGTCTTGGTATCCTCGCTCTAGTCTGGTGTCAGGTTGGAGTTACGATGAGGCAGTAACATGCAATTAGTCTTGATAGCTCCAGCTTCTCTTTCTTTAGAACAGCTTTATATAGTGAAGTGATTAAGCTGTCTTTGGGATTTTATAGTGACCTTTTATTAAGTAAGTTGCAAAGTCAGCATTTTAAAATTTGAGTCTTCCAAAAATATGTCTTTTAATTTGTCTTGTGATGCTGTGTGAATGCAGTGAATTACTGACTGGTCATAGCTGTCTTTCTGGTTCCCAGAGGTATCCTCCACAAGTGCACCCCAGCTGTGGGTGGACATGGGTGCTGGCTTGTGGATGGGCAGTCATTCTTTTTGCATCCTGTGTTCTTGAGCACTGAATGCTTGTGGTCTGGTGATTTGCAGGCTTGTGGTAAGACTTTTCCTGTGGCTGTCTTTGCTATTCTCAGTAATCATTAGTGAATGCCCACCGGATTTTACCATTTGTTCTTTGATTCCTGTAGTAGTGTGGTCTTTATAGTCCATCTCTTTGATTCTCTGTATCCCAGTCTGCTCACTAATGTGAATATCACAGTATAAGTTGGTCCTAGCAATTAAAGATTGAGTATTTCCAGAGGCTTTTTCATCTTTTCTGAAGCATTTGTATCCTGCCCCTCAACCTCTGTTCCATAGCATTAACCAGAAGGGCTTATCTGATTAGGGCTTACGTGGCTGAAGCACATTAACTACGTAGATACAAAGCTCAAAATAGGCCCCTTGCTTTCAAATCACTTGTTTTTTTCCATTGTAAAATAGATATACTATAACATTTATTGTTTTAACCATTTTAAGGGTATAGTTCAGTGGCATTAAGTATATTCACATTGCTGTGCAGCCATCACCACCGTCCAGCTCCAGAACCTTTTTATCTTCCCAGCCGGCCCCTTTGAACAATGACTCCCACTCACCTCAGCCCCTGGCAGCCACCACTCTTCCTTTTGTCTGTGACTTATTCTTCCAGTACCTCACATACACTGGCATACAATATTTATCCTTTAGTCTCTAGCATAATATCTTTAAGGTACATCCATGTTGTAGCATGTGACAGAATACTCTTTTTAAGGCTGAGTAATATTCCTTTGTATGTGTATACCACATATTGTTTGTTCATTTATCCATTGATGGACATTTCGGTTGCTTTCACCTTCGGTTATAAAAGCCTACTATGCAAATTGTCTCTTCGACTGAGAGTTCGGCCACTTGTTATGATGCCTGCTGACCACCAGGGGGCAGCACGGAACATGGTGGGTGTTGGCAATGCGGTGCTGGCAGTAGGTGGCAGTGGAGATGCTGCTGGCCCCAATGGGCACCGATGAGAGTGGGACCGAGGCAGAAAGGTGGATCAGGTGAGTGGGTGTGTGTGGGGCCTGATTGCCCCACAGATGGTGACCAGCTGAGGGAGCCAGGCAGGGGCCCAATCACCCTGCTGATTGCCCTGCAGATGGTGACCATCTGCAGGGCAATCAGCAGGGGGGGGGGCCCAGCGCCACCATCTGGCTCCCAGGTGCTGAGGGAGCTGGGTGGGGGCCTGATGACTCCCAGGTGGAGGGAGGCATGTGGGGCCTGGGGGTCCAGGTGCTGCCCAGGGCCCAGGGGTCAGCTTGGATCAGCCCTTCCATGCCAGATGCTCACGCTTCAATCACCATCCAGGCCTAGGTGCCCTGCACCTGTGCACCAATTTCATTCACCAGGCCTCTAGTTACAAATAATGCTTCTGTGAATTTGGTGTGCAGTTATGTTTCAGTCCTTACTTTCAGTCCTTCGGGGTACATTCCCAGAAGTGGAATTGTTGGATCCCAAATCCTTTTTTACATCAGAAAACAAATATGTTCTTTTATGTGATTAGTGTGATTAGTTGCATGCCAAATAGTTGCATGCCAAAGTAATGAGCCTAGGCCACTTCTTGATGATTGTGCCAATGGGAAGTTAGTCTACTTTCCGATTTGGTGTGCTAGAACAGAATCTGTGTTCATCATTGATGGAACTACCCTACAAATGGTGATGCTTAAAGTGTGAATAAAGGTGGGTGTGATTGATAACCAATAGTTCCCGTGATCCCTCCACCAGATGTTAATTTTCTCCCTTTCTTTCATTCTTCCAGGTAGTTCCCATGTGGTTGCATCATCTAGACTTTGAAACCAGATTACCTGGGTTTATACTCCAGCTCCTCCAGTGACCAGGTGGGCAAATTACCTAATCTTTTTTTACCTCGTCATCCCTATCATACAATGGAGTTATGAATACAGCACTGCTTCAGATTTGTGAATCACTTAGAACCGTGCCTGGCGTATAGTAAGTGCCTGCTAAACGCTGTGGTTGTGATTTCTATTAGCAGTAGCCATTTGCACCTATCTGATTGGCAAATAACTTCTTGAAGGGACAATAATATATTGATAATAGAAATTATTATCTATTATATAAAATATTATTCTCTCTCTTTGGTGAGACTGTAGGGTATATGGGCATACTTATACCTTGCTAGTGGGGAGTACAAATAGTTTTCTGAAAGAAAATTTGGGAACATTACTATGTCAAAAGCCTAAAAATCCTTTTATGTGATTTGGTATTTCCTTCATTCTAAGGAAATATCTGAAATTGCAAAGGTAGGAGTAAAAAACAGTTTATTGTTATGTTATTTTTTAATATGAAAAAATTGAGAAAAATTAAGCATGCATGCCTAATACTATGAGATTATGCAAGTAAGATATGATATGTAAAACAATGGAATATTGTTTAACTTTTACATTGTGATAAAAAATATTCTCATGGGAAAGTGTTTAAAATGTGTTAAGATATGAAAGCAGGCTATAAGAAAGCAAGTATAATATTTTGTGATATACATGTTTTTTATATGTGTGTGTGTGTTTGTGTAATTTTTTTTTTTTTCCAAAATCACCCTACCAGTAAATATGTACAGATGGTGGGATGATAAATAATTTTTAAAATTCTTGGTGATTTTCTGGTTATTTGGCCCTAAGTAAATTTTTGGCATCCAGCAAATGTTTCTATTAGAGAAAAAGGCAGTAACTTCACTTGGAAAAAGAAGATTCTGGTTGGTTATATGAAGTTTTAAGAATGAAGGGCACAGAGGAAGAATTCTGCAGAGTGGGTTCCCAGCACCCACTGATCCGCTGACCTGTGCCCAGGCTGTGGTGCCCTGGAGCCCTCTGCCCAGTCAGACTCCAAGGCCTGAACTTGAATGTGAACCCTGCTCTCCATTCCCCAAGTCTGTTGGCATCAGTGGATGCACGGCAGACACCCCTCCCATACATACTCAGAGTGCAGTGGTTTCTTAAGATATTCCAGCTGAGACATGGAGTCGGGGAGGGCACGGGTTTACTGGAGTTCCTGAAAGTTGGAAGGGCGCTGTTTAATGAAATGTGATGAAAGCTGACTTCGGCTGGATCCCATTTTTGAGTGTTGTTAAGTCTCCCTGGCATGCCTCTTGCAGATATTTATGTCCTTGTAGTATTGTGCATAAAATGTGAAATGGGTAAAAATAATCTTGCTTGCTGTTCAGAATTGATCCTAAGCAATACATCTTCCACTGGACGTGGGTGCCAGATGGCCACGCACCTCCTACTGGGTTAATGAATAGGCATTTGCTGCAAACCTTGAGTTGCTCTTGAATCGTTCAGTTCACTCAAACATGAAACTCTGCCAGTGGCAATTTGCATTTGTAACCCCCCCCCCCCCCCCGCCCCTTTGGATTTTAAGAAGGAGGAAGAGGTGACACTGTCTCTTGGGAATAATTTCCAATGGGTTGGATTAGTTTTATTGCTAGTGTTGTTTAGCCGTGTCTCCCTAAGTAAACATATGTTGTGCCAACTCCTGGGAAAAGTAAATTTCATCTTAGTGCTGTCTCTAATGGTAGCTTTAAAATGAAGTTCTACTTCTGCCTGAGGTGGAGCAGGATGTATGCAGGTATTCCTGTGAATGAGGCCAGAAAAAATGGGGCTCGTGACTGAAATACCAATTCTGACATGATCCCATGATTTTTATTGTAGTCTGGGTTGTTTCTACAACCTTGAGCCGCAACAAGCAGGCATATAGTAAAATATTAATGCCATCGGCTCAGTAGTCTCTCAAATCTTGAAGATACGATGTCTGGGTGCTGTACCATAATAATAAATGTTTGAATCAATCTAATCAATTCATTTCACTGGTTGTGTTGGTCCTGCCATCATAAATTCTTTCTCTTTCCCTGGAGTGCAGATCCCTTGGTCTATATATGGAGAATACGTTGTGCTCTAATCATTAAAGCAGGTTCTGACATCCTGCCTCCTTTCAGGCCTTTGTAGAGATAGGAGCGTTCCCTAATCTGTCCTCACTTTCTGCTGTGGTTAAGACCCTCGTGGACTGTGTATTGTGAGCATTGATGCCTCTCCTTGATACCGGTAGTGTGGTTCAGATGGTCCCTGCTATTATAAGAACCTCAGGCAATAAAGAGTTGAAGTTGGGAGCTATTTTACCAAAATCCAGGAGACTTTTCTCTATGACCTGAAGGGTTGCTCAGGCCCTTAAGGTCCAGCAGTATTTTATTAGTGGCTGTGAAGGTCAAATATCTATATTATATTCATTGTCTCTGATTTCAAATGTCCCCAGAGCACAGTGGAATTGGTGTTATACATACTGGAGGTTGTCAATCTCTAGGACTAAGCACCCTTTGGGGTGTTCCTGTCAACAATTGGGATTCCTTCAGATCTCCATACCAATGTGGTTCCATTTCCCACCCACCCAAAAGGGCGACGTGAATCTGAATTAGTAGGTACTGTACTAGAATTGAGTCCTTTTTAATTTTAATAAATACAACACCCTCGACAGTTTTAAACTTGACTTAGAAAATATTTTTAAGTATGAATTTCCTGTTTTGGAGAAGGATTTCTCTTTTTAGAGGCTCTAAAATAGTATTTTTATTGTAGTCTGGGCATTGTGTGTAACAATTCTTACTTTATTATCCACTTAATGTTAGATTATACTTTTCTAGAAGTTACCCTAGAAATTAGAGGGAAGAAAGATCCGAACATTTTAATCATGGAGTCAGAAATGTCCCATAATATCCTGTTCTTATTTCCAGTATGGGTTGTAGCACATCTGTATATATAAAGTCCTAAGCAACTGTTCTGACCAGACGACCTGATTACCGGATGACCAACCGGTAGGTATGATGCACACTGACCACCAATGGGCAGACGCTCAATGCAGGAGCTGCCCCCTGGTGGTCAGTGCACTCCCACAGCCAACCTCCCTCCGCTGGCCAACCTCCTGTGGTCCCTCCCCTGTTCCAACTGCCCCCAGCTGCCCAGCCCCGATCACCGTGATTGGGACTGGGTGAGACTGCCCTGATTGACTCTGATCACTGACCAGCCAAGGGACCCCACCCATGCATGGAATTCATGCACTGGGCCTCTAGTTGTTTTATAATTAAATAGAAGCCCATTGCACGAAATTCTTGCTTTTGTTGGGGGAGAGGGTGCCTCAGCCCAGCCTGAGCCTTCTTGCAGTTCGGGACCCCTTGCTCCTTAGAGTCCACCTATAGCCAAGATGGGAAAGGCTCCATGACCACTAGGGGACAGCTCCTGCATTGATCGTGCGCTCCTTGGTGTTCAGTGTGCATCATAGCGATTGATCATTCAGTGGTTTGGTCGATTTGCATATTAGGGTTTTATTTTATATAGAATATCTGTAATCTCTGTTCCTGTCATTCACAATGAGCTCTTTGTGGAATGGGCTTCCTTTAGCCTCATTCATTTTTGAATTCCTCGTGCCTGCTGCCTTAAGTTAATCCCACTGGAAATCCCCTAGAGCCCTTTAGTGTCTATAATCTTTGTTGTAATTGAGACCTGGGGTGTCGGGGTTGGTGAGGAGAGGACTGGATTGAGGATCTCCGTTCCCAGGCTGTTTTTTTGTGTGTGTAGCTGGTGTTATGGAGCAAACTTTATTCTCTGTTCCCAGCTGGCAAGGACCCTGGGTTAGTTCTTAGAGGACTGGGGAGTCTAGGCTTTGCTGCACCTGTCACTAGCTTGAGCTTTCCAGCAAGTCAGTCACTATATCTGGGCATCCAGAATAAATGGTCTTGAAGGCCCCTCTACTTTTAAAATGCTGTGTTTTTGAGAGTAAGTATGGCTTGCTTGATTTTGGTAGAATTTCGGGGTAAAGAGTTACAATAATTCTTATGGAATTAAAAATAACACTTTCTCAATTTATCATTCAAGGCAGCTCCCCTTAAGCTCCTGTTTAGTACTCTAGACATGGTCTCCTTTGACAGTCGAATTTTCTCATTGATCTACATTTTTCTTTAACTTTTTGTTAGACATTTGTTCAGTTCCTGTGCCAAGCTCTATGCAGTTAGCAGAAGAGGAAATTTTCTCTGAACACAGATTTTGTCTATATTGGCTTTGTGCATGGGAATTATGACCTAGGATCTAGCTTTTGTAGTTCAAAGAAGATGTTTTCCCTTATCTCTTTAAAGAGAAGATTTTAGGTTGTTGCTTCTGGTGCTTAGGTAGTATGAGGTATGTGGGTATAGTTTTATTTTCGTCTTCAGCTCTTGAGGTTAAAAAAAAATCTTCATGGTATCTAAGGGAACTTCTTAAAACATTGTTTAATGTATATGTGTTTTCTTTTTTGATTCAAGGTATGATATCTTTTCAAAGCAAAAGGATCATTTGGAAAACATGACAGCTCAGATTTCTTGGTGCCTTAGTTAATTTTTTCCTATTGGGTGCAAAATTGTTTTTCCATTAAATGCAACTCCTAATAAATGGTGGTTGATGCTTGTAAGCATCAAGGATCTTTAGCTCCTTTAAGAAGGGGTGTCTCCTATCTTAACAGACTAAGTAAGCCAAAATAGTTTAAGGAGAATATTTGTGCTTATTAGATTTACAAGGAGATTACCTTAAGTCATGGGCTCTGCCTTTGAATTTTAAACCATTTACTCACAAGTTAGCACAGTTAATTCAACAATTTCACTCATTAGCTCACCACATGTCTGCTGCTTTCTTGCTGTGCCAGGTCCTGAGATGCATGTAGTGGAGGACAGTAGGGGTGGAAGGTCAGGGATGGGAAGAAGAGCAAGCAGCTCTTGCCAACAAGAACCAAGCATACTCGAAGGTAGCAGGCATATATATCCTAGTATACTTCAAACTATTTAAGAAATCCTCCATTTTGACATTTGAAC